TGAGTCTTCAGATACCTGAAGTCTTTTCCTAAAGGTTTCTGAGGGGGAAAAAAATTAGATCTGAAATCACTTCAAACTGCTGTTTTCATCTGTTCTGTGCTGCTGTAGTTTCCCTTGGCCTCTTGTTCTTGAGCTTCAAACAGGCACATTTAATGAAGCTTTCATCTGCATTGACTAAGGAGACTAAGGGTAAATTAGACTAAAATACCTGAGCTTTCTCTCTGTTTGTTTTTTTTTTGTGAACACAAACTTTTTGCTAGAAGGTCTCTGCAATGGAAAAAAAAGAGCCTATGGGTTGAAAATCTTTAGGCTTGCTACTATTTTGTTCCTTTCTCACCACGTTGCTTTGCTATGTATATTTTTCATTTACACAGCACCTTGGAGGTTCAGTCAAGGATCAGTCCACACTGTGCAAAGTAACCTGTAAATATAGGAACCCCCTTGCAGTTCTTGAGAAGGAAAACTGTTGATTTTTAGTGTAAAATGGTGCATCCAGGGTTGGTTTTATTTTTTTTTTCTGTTTAATTTGAATGCACATTTCCTAAAATGAGGAAAAGATTATTTTTTTAAAAAGCACATGGTAGAGAAATGCCAGAAAGGCACCATGAAAATCTGTGTTGGATCTTTTACATTGCAGTGTGCCTGAGAGGTGAGACTGTTGTGGAAGAACTAATAGGTGTGCATTATTGCATGCTCAACTACTGTTTTCAAGCATTTTTGCAAACATCCAGTTTTTCAGCCTCAAAATTCCTGTGGCCCAGATTGTGTTCTCTGTTCAGTGGAAGTACATTTTAATAATACCTTCTGTAGAGCCTTGTGTGGAAGAAGTTCTGTGACTATAAAACAGTACTTTCATGTGGCAGCTCTTGGATGCTAACGTTTATAGAAAATTACCATTCTTAATGTTCACAAAATCAGTTTTTCGTATTAAGAAGCAGTTTGTATTTAACTCCTCTAACATTGTGCTGTGAGTTAAATACAAATTATGAGAAGGAGCATGGCTACTTAAATATTGTGAAATGTGTCTTTAGTTCAGCAGTCTCTTTTTTTCCTAAAAGGAAATAATATTGCCAAAGAAATTGGATGTCACTCCTTCTTTTGAAGCCAGCTGAAAAATAAAAGCAGAGGTGATTTTTGCTTTTCTGCTCTATTTAAATCTGGCCTCTTCTTTGAGAAAAACTCACATGCAGAAGTGGGAAAGGGGAATGCACTGCCTGGGTGGAGTTTGATAAGCATTAAAACAACCTTTGCCTTTGGACACTTTGGTGTAATGGGGGAAGGATCTCAACGTGTTCTGAGGAAATGTCGTTGCCTGGTGATGTAAGGATTTATCCCTGCACCTAGTCACTAACAGGTTTTGTAGGGATGACCAGGAGGCAGATCACCGAAGGAGTTAAGTTATGGCTGGCACAGACAATGCAAAAAAGGTCTATTAGTTGAAAAGCTTTCCACAGTTTATCTGTAAGACATGTGGCTTTGGTTTAGTTTTATAAATGACAGTTGTAACAAACATACTAGGGTTGAATGCATTTCTACCAAGCAGATTCTCGCATAAATGAAAGTAACAATGTCTGAAAGGAATAAATAGTATGGTGTCAGATAGAAGGGCCTTTGTCATAAATCCGTGTAAATCTGCAGCCACCTGAGCAATAGGGTTGAGCAGCTTCATGGTGTTACTGCATGGCATCTTTTAAAACCTACAGGAATGAAGGGGTTTAGGTTCTGTCATAAGTTACAGTTTTCATTTCTTGGAGTGGAAAATATGCATCCATTTGAATAGTGGTAATTATAGAAGAATGCCAGTTTCCTCACTCAAATTCACATTGAGCATGAACATGAACACAATGCGGTGCTGTGCTGGCAACGGTAGTTGCAGTAGTGTTTGTTGGGTGTTTGTCAAAAAATCCCATCTCAGTTTATTGTTCTTACTACACACATCAGTTTCAGCTTAACATGCAAGGATACTGTGATGGTTTATGTTGTTGTGTGGTGGGTTTTTTTCCCCTGGCATGTCTTCATACTAAAAAAGCCACTAGTGGGTGTAAAAAATACAGTGTAATAATACCATATGGGTTAATAGCTGCTGTGGTGGTGTTCACCTAACATTTTCTGTGGTTGATTTTTATTTTCTTTTCCTTGTTTTGATTTTCTTTGATCAGTAAGCACCTGGGTGATACTCTAGAAACTGGTTTTGTGCATGGTGTCAGTCTGTGTATGCATGTCAACTTAAGCACCAGTACTACATGTGAGGTTAAGTATGTTTGGCTTTGTCCATGCAGGTTGTAAAATGCACATGGGTTCTATTCTGTGAAAACAAACTGTGTAAAAAGAATTACAAACAACAATAAGGTCTCAGAAGAACTGTATACGTACACGAGTCAATGTATTATATCATAGAATCATAGAATGGTTTGGGTTGGAAGGCACCTTAAAGTTTATCTAGTTCTAACCCTCTGCCATGGGTAAGGATGCCTTCCACTAGACCAGGTTGCTCAAAACCCCATTCAACATGGCCTTGAACACTTTCAGGGATGCAGCTTCACTGGGCAGTGCCTCACCACCCTCATAGTCAAGAACTTTTTCCTGATGTCCAATCTAAAACTACCCTCTTACATTTTAAAACTATTCCCTCTTGTCCTATCCCTACAAGCCCTTATGAAAAGTCCCTCTCCAGATTTCTTGTAGGCCGCCTTTAGGCACTGGAAGCTGCTCTAAGGTCTCCACACAGCCTTCTCTTCTGCAGGCTGAAGCACCCCAACTCTCTCAGCCTGTCTTCATAGGAGAGATGCTCCAGCTCTCTGATTAGTGGCCAGTAAATTCCCAGTTTTCAATGGCAATAGGAAATACTGTACAGTAGGAAATGCCTGGATCAGAGGTCTTTCCTGTATTGAGAATTCCAGAGCTGGATGCCATACTCCAAGTGGGGTCTCACAAGAGCAGAGCAGAGGGGAAGAATCACCTCCCTCAACTTGCTGGTCACGCTCTTTTTGATGCAGTCCAGCATACGGTTGGCTTTCTGGGCTGCAAGTGCACACTGCCAGCTCATGTTGAGCTTCTCATCAGCAAAGCAATGCTATGTACTTGTCATCTCTTGAAGGATGCCCATTGAAATAAAATCTTTTTGATCATTAGCGTTACTGCTTAATCTGTCTCAATAGTTCTTTTCATTTGATTGACAATTAGCAAATTAATAGGAAATAACAGTTAATGCCATGTTCAGCTTCAGGAGTTAAAGCTGTTCCTGATTTAATTTTTTGCCTTGATGTCAGAAATATGTGAAATACAGGGGAAAAGGTTGTAGGGGATTGCATTCTTGGGTATATTTATTGTTGTTTGTCTTGTTGAAAAACATTTTGTAATTTGTGCTGCTTTTTCTACTTTAGATCTAGGATCACTTGGAAGTGTAACACTGAAGGGAGTATTGTGGGTTGCAGGATCTTGTCCATAGCTGTTACAGGCAACCATGTCATATAATCCCATTCATAAACTGATCATACCCCACCCAGGACAGCAGCTAGTTTTTGTCCTCACCACTTTGTATGTGTTGTCCTGTAACTGCAGGTTAAAACATTGTTCTGTTTTCCAGCCATAGTGTGCTCGTGACCATTTTATAGACATTTCTTCATCTGTCAGCAGTGAGCTGCACAGCAAGGCAGAATTTAAGAAAACACTGTCAGCTCCATCTCATTTTTCATCTAAGACAATTAAGCTTTTTTAAGACCCATTCTTCCCTGCAGCTTATCACTAAGTTCCTTGGCATGTTGTGTTCTGCACGTAATAGCTGGTATGCGGCTAGTCTCTCTGGACGTTAACAGTTTCAGCCCTGCCAAAGCTCCAAATGGTACAAGATTGTCTTCCTGAAACCGCTCAGCAGTCACTTTTGTTTTCTCCCCAGATAGGGCAAGGTCTCCTAACAATGTTTAAGTGGTTTGCATGTTCCTTCCTCCCAGCTGCTTGTGGGACAGAGCATACCAGGGCACACTGCACCGTGTTGATCCTGCTTTGAGCACATATCTGCCGGGTTATCTATTTCCTCTCCTATTTTTCCAAAACGGATAAAAACAAATGCATCTTGGCGAGTTGCTATGTACATATGCACAAACACATTAAAGGACTTCTTTGTGAGCAGCAAGTGGCACAGTGTTGCTTGCTGTCATGAAGGTGACTGCACTGCTAACTCATTACTTTCTAACTAGAGGTCTAGAGCTTAAATTGTGTGTAGCATAAATATACTTGTTCGTACTCTATGTGATTTATGAATTGGAGAGATGTCAGGTCCTAACCAGAAACAATTTGTTCTAGCTGATCCCTAAACTGTAACTGATTGTTCTGACACAAAGAAAGCCTCAACTTTGAATGCATTAAGATTGACTGTTAGGGTATTTAGCATGAATGTTCAGGTTTTTTTCTTACAGCAGTTTTTATAGAGTATGCAGGCTTTGTTAAAAGTAATGCATGCATTTAGTTTGCAGGAAAGTTGGGGACAGTGACTTCTAGATACAAATTTCTGATTGCAAAAATGTTTTTCATCCACATCAGGAGTTGAGTACAGGAGAAATCTTGGACTGTGTAATACTTTCAATAACAAATATAAAATCTGTGGTCATAACTCAGTGATCTTATAACATTTAAGAGAAAACTGTGGCATTTCCATCAGATGTTAGTGTTAAACCAAGAATCCTTAAAAATGGTATCTGCATCTTTACTGAAATAGGAAGTTCAGCTGGGTAAAGAAGAGGAGCTACACTACTGCACACTTGCTAACACACTGATTTTATTTTGATATGTCAAAGGGAATTAAGCATGGCAAAATACCTTTTAAGTATTAATGTAGTAAGAAATAATACACTCGTAATCTGTTTTTCAATGGCTCCACTTTAGATTCCTCAGTTAAGCATCTCCTACATAAATTGGTGTTTGACTTACTAGTTGTTATCTGTAAGCTTATAAGCACTCAGTTTGTTATTTGCTATTTTATATTTATTATTTCTTATATACAGGATGTGAATGAAGACCCTGGAGAAGATGTTGCACTTCTCTCAGTTAGTTTTGAGGATGCAGAAGCCACTCAGGTTTTTCCTAAGCTGTACCTCTCCCCGCGTATTGAACAGTGAGTGAGACTTTCTTCTCGAGTGCTTGTTCCACTTCATCTCTGAACTTATCATTTTTCCTGATATATGTGAGAAATATTGGCTAGGTGATAACACACTGTTGCTTTAAATTGCTTAGAGTCATAGTGATGACCTCAAGTGTGTCTGGTGTAGAAATGACACATCTTTCAGCTAGTTCTGCATCTGTGGCTGGACCACATCTGAATGATGAAAAGGCATCACTGGCTACATGTAATATTCTTGTAGCATCGTAATCTGTGAAAACTATGCTGTGTTGTAGCAGATACTTTGAGTGCCTGCTGTGGTACAGCACACTGATAGCTTTTTTTGTGGAGGAATCTTTTATTTCTTTGGGAAGATGTTATCTGTATGAATATAATACATTTGGATGAAGTATTGTGGAAGCTAAAGGTCTTTATTAACTGTGTTTTAGGATTTTGCAGATTTAGTAAGTTATGTTTTTCAGGAGAATATCGGAATATTTAATTTAAAGATTGTTGCACATCACTTGATCTGTTTACCAGTTGGCAAACAGATTTGTTGAGAAATGGATTTCTGCTCCTAAAATGGAAGAGTGAGGATAGAAAATCAGTCTGCTTTCATTGGATTTCTCTTCTTCCATTTCTGGAATTAAGAATACTTTAATACTTCTTCTTCCCTTCAGTCTTGGGATGTCCACTTTAAAAATGTCACTACGTTAGACTGTTCGGGTATACAACAGTCACACTGGTCTAGCATTGTTTCAGTGATGCTTTGTTTTTATGGTTACTACTGCAGTGACTTTCCTCTGAACCAGTGGTGACACGTCTGGGTAGAGAAGAAACGATGGGAAATACTGACTACCACAGTTTTATAATAACTCAGTGATAAAGCTTGTGTGAGTGATGGAATGTGGTATCTTGATATTTTGCTCAATGGGGCATTGGCCTTGATAACATGTTGGATGCAATTTAAAGAAAAACCAAAAACCAGGATTTGATTTAGATAAAGATGCAAGACTTCGCAGGTGTTTTGTTTAAGCAAATGTAGGTTACACACCCACATGCAATCACACACATGATACATTTAGCAGCTGTTACCTCTTCATATTTTGTATCAGTTCACTACTTTCTGTCAATATTAGTTGAGTGAATTGTAGTCAAACATGCCCAGGGAAGTTGTGAATGCTCCATCCCTGGCGGTGTTCAAGGCCAGACTGGACAGAGCCTTGTGTGACATGGTTTAGTGTGAGGTGTCCCTGCCCATGGCAGCGGGTTTGGAACTGGATGATCTTAAGGTCCTTTCCAACCCTAACTATTCTGTGATTCTATGTAATTATCCTTCTGTGTTCCAAAGAATTCTGCTTGGCTGCAGTTAAGGAAATGGGCTGTCACTAGTTTCTATTGTATTTTCAGATGTACTCAGGTATTGATTCTTCAGGTATTTCAGGCTACCTGGTTACATCTCTCTAAATGACCCATTCGCTAATGAATACATTGCTTATTTTCCTGCTTTCAGAAGTATTTTAGAAAGGTGTTAACCTCTTGATACCAGGCAGGACAGCAATACAAAGGAACATTTTGGCTTCCTCATTTTGTGTCAGTGCCCTAAAGAATATCTTATTTTAGAGGTGTGATGTAGAGAGATATAGAAGAAAAATATCTGAGTGGTGTTGGTACACATCTAATGTATTTATGACTTTGTCATTTATAGCTTATGGAGTCGTGTTAGAATCATGCCAGTAAACCCTGGAGTTAGTTCCATACCAGATCTTGTCACATTATCTGTGTATCAGAGTTAATTCACTCATCTAACTCAATTTGTCCTCATGTATTTGTAAGGTATTCATCACAGTATTCAGATACTGGTAACCTAAAATACCAGAGTTGCTTGTGAGCTGTTGCACCTTCCTTTATTCTACTGGCTACTTCTTATGTGCCCTGACAAAAGACATGGGTATGTTTCAGTGTTTGTTCAGTTGCACTTCATAACAAAGATCTAGCTGTCTCCTGTTCTTTTCCAAAACCAATCTCTGCTCTGTTTAGCAGGGGCTGACAGTTTAGATATTTAACTTTCCAGTGTTTGGGAACTGAAGCAACAATGTGTACTTCTTTATACTTTTTGCCAAAAGTACGAAAAGCCTCAAGGAGCCCTGAGGATTAGTTTAATGACTTGAGGCCGTGGCATGTTACATTTGAATTGTGTTCTGCTTATAAAAGGTCTTTCCTGCTGCTAACAGTAATTGCATCTACAAAAGCCATGTAAGCAAATTACTAGTGTATTTTTTTCTGTAGCAGATTCTGAGGTGGAGTAAGTAGTAGTTGACAGTTCCCAACATAACATTCCCAAGTACTCAACAAAACAGGAAAAATACCAAATTCCCACAATTATTTTGCTAATACTAAACTCAGTTCACCTTAGGAAGAACAAGCAAACAGGAATAGCATTTTCCTGACGTATGAAAAAACATATTCGGATAGAAATGTTTCAGCTTTGTAGAGAAATAAGAGCAAGGGGCCTGTTTGTGTAACGTGAGTTATCTCCTGCTTTCCCAAGAGGTTTCATTGCTTTTGTGTTTCACCATATAAACATGCATTCCCACATTGCTTTTTCTAAAAATGCAGTACCCATAGATCTTGTCAGCGAATTTGAGCCCTAGCAATATGAATACAGTGGGTTTGCTTTCAAGGGTTGTTCTAAAGCATGTTTGCTCTATTTTTAGATGGATGATAAGCATAATACTAGTAAAACTTTGACTGGTCTTTGTCATAGATTCTGGAAGTGAGATTTGCAGAGTGAGGAAAATGTTCACTTTTTAATGGTTTGGGGCTAAGATAATAGTACATCGGTTGGCTTGAAGAAGCTCACGTATTAGAGCAGGAGGTAAAAATGCAGTAGAGAAGTATTGTGGCTCATTCAAGGCAATATTGGTGTGGTGTCTAGCTGCAAGAGTGTTAAGCCCAGTTCTTATAGTCAAAAAACAACCCCATGCTTAGGGATGGGAAGCATTTGTGTTAGCTTATAAAAATCCCAGCAGTAATTGTTTATAAATATACCTCATGTAATTCTTTAATTAAAATCTGCTAATTTAAAAATACTCCTTTAAATGCTACCTATTCAACACACATTAGCCACCATTTCTAGTTAATGTTTCCTTAAGTTGAAATCAAACATTTAAAAAAGCTTTCATTTTATAATCTTAAGAATTATTCTTTATTGCACTGCATCAATAAGCAGATAGATGCCAACAGCAGCCACTTCTAATGATTTCAAATGTGAGATTAAGTTAAAATGAAATGTGGGCTATTTATGTTATGTGTTTTGTTTAACAAGTACCATTTTAACTGTAGCGTTGTAAAAACAAGTTTCTGCACACTTCTGGAGGAAGTGGCAAGATGGGAAAACCCCACAGACTGACCACCCAACTAGAGAAGATGGTGCTTGTCAGCATCCATAAGCATGTGTCTCCAGCTCGTCCTGTTTCTCCTCCCACCGTGGGGCTGAAGGCTGTTCTTGAGCCCCTGCTCATGGCTGCTGTGCTCTGGGGAGCGGGTCAGAGAGCTGAGCAGTGCCAGGACCTGCAGCCCATCACTTGCCCATCTACCTGACCTCCTCCTGCTGCTAGGTAGGCAGAGGCATTCTGAGGCTGCTTCTGCATGACAGGGAGCTGCTGGGTTATTTACCCCTTATGTCTATGTCGCATTTCTCTAAACCTGGCAGTAGAAAGCATCTTGGTGACTCAAAATTATCTTTGTAGTGAAAGCATACCAGACATTCACATGGAAAGGAAATTTATAATGAAAATATCCATCCTATCTTTGGTTTTCGTTTATGAAAAATCACTAGACTCTAAATCCAAACAGGACGAGATTGAACAGTTGATTTCTGTGTTAATGCTTAAAATGTGTGTCAGCATTGTACACCCGGATGTGGATCAGAAGTTTTGTAGGTTGGGGTTTTTAAAGAAAAAATTTGATGTATGCATTTTTCTCCTGTACGAGTTGTCCATGCTAAAGAAAATAAAAACGGGTTTGTCTTGCTTCACATCTTACGAAAAGAAGGTATTAGGGTAGGAACTCTGTTGCTCAGTGAATGCTGTGTTCCTTGGATTCACAGAAATAATCTTGCAATAAACACTGTTGTCCTGGAGGGCTTTTTTCTGATAAATATGTGGACATGAATATGCTAAGAAAACCAGCTGTCAGTAGAACTTGTTTTGCTTAAATGGATCAGGCTCCATGCTTTGGGGACTGAAATGGTCGTTTTTTACTGGTCTGGGAGTTGTGCCAGAGGGTTCTTCGTGACTGAGGGTGGTATGCAGAGTTCGGTGACTGCATTTAACCTTCTCTTGTGGGCAGGGGAGAATAACAAGAACCTGATCTGAACTCTTAGACTTTGAATGTTTCTGTATGTTTTTCACCGATGAAAGAAAAGTAGAATAGAAAATTAAACACGTGTATTTGTTTTAAGGTGTTTCTTATCTTTTACCTGTCCTTGCTGCTGGGAGTTGGGAGGAGGAAAACCACAGAATATTATCCATTTACTGCCAGGCACCACCTCTCACTATATTTGAGGTACGGGGGTGCTGTGAAGGGCTTTGCCTTTAAAATTGGCATGCTATACTGCAGAGTGTACATCACTGGCTGTTCATCACTGTACATCATCTTCTGTTTCAGAATGATTATGAATACACAGTCTTTAAATGAGTGGTCATGTTTAGGCCTTTTTATGTGTCTTTGTAGAAGGCAGAAGTAAGACATTTTTCTGTTTGATACATTAAAATGGGCAATTCATCCGAGCTGATGATTTCAGTAGGATTGTTAGTAGGTAGCTAAGACAGCCCATGACTTCCTCAAATCCCAGAGCATCTTTGCAGACATGGGAAGCAGGAGTGATGGTTGCTTTTCAGGGCTTTCTCTTCCAGTAAAAGCCTAGTTTGGTCATGCCTCTAAGCAATGCCTGGCCAGTGAGTCAGTGATAACTCCTGCCTGCTGTATGTGCCATGTCCCTGTCATCTAAG